AGCCATTTTGTCTTGTTAAATTTTTAGCTTTCTACCCGATTTTGGTAGAGTTTTTCTACCAGTTTTTGGTATCGGCCATTTTTGGGTAGCTACCATTCTACCAATTCAGGGTCGGTTCTACCAATTCTTGGTATTTTACCCATTTTTGGTCATTTCTACCACTGCCTAGTATAAAAGCAGCAGATTCTTGGTCACAAAAAAAGTTCAGATCTAGAAATTCTTGGTAGTAGACGTACGTTAATTTGTCTGCTGAAAACTTAAATTTTATGTTAAATTTAAGTAACAAACAAGTCAAGTTTATTTTAAATACTAGAATTATATCTAGTTGAGTTAAATACAGAGCTTAGATATTTTTATACATCTGATATTACAATCTTATATAACTTTACATAATATAACATTTAAGTATTTTTACTACACTGTTTATTGAAGTAAATCTGGTAACTATTGTCACCGCGGAGTTAAACTGATACACGTAACACGGAGATTTTTTGGTTCATCAGTACTAAATATTATTTTGAAGGCGTAACGGTACTAAATTATTTATTTGTGAATTTGTGAGCTGTCTTGACTTATTATAAGAGCTGTTTACTGATATCAATGGTTCATGATTGTTTGACAATTGTTATTTAAAGTATTAACTGTTGAATAAATTTTATAACTGTTTACAATGGTGTTGCCTGATTACTATCAGATGAGTTGGAGAGCTACACAGCACATCAGTTCTGTATCTGATTGCATTAATACCTTGAAAGCCTGAGTGCCAATATACAGTTCCAGCATACTTAAGAGTCCCCCGACCCACTAGACCGTAACAATATATGTTTAATAGATGACTCGTGTCACCTGTTGACAAAAGGATAATGCGAAAATATTGGAAATAGAATCAATTGCAAGGTGATTTGAAGGATGTGCGATTTTTTCTAACACATTTTTTATCTTGTGTTTGACGTATAAATATTTACTTTTTCTTCAAAATAGCGTATATATGTAAGTTTTATTGAAATATATGATAAGTATATGGGCTGGAATTAATAAATATACAATTATTAGGATTTTAAAGCAGCACGCCTCAATATTCATGTTTATTTTCATGAAAAGTTTGGAAATGTATTTATGTTTTACTTTTACCACGGTACATGTTCCTCCTTGTTAATTTGTGTCGTCCTCAGTAGAGTTAAAATACAAATATTCATGTTTATTTTCATGAAAAGTTTGGAAATGTATTTATGTTTTACTTTTACCACGGTACATGTTCCTCCTTGTTAATTTGTGTCATCCTCAGTAGAGTTAAAATACAAACATAGAAATTTGATTGATAATGTTTGGCAGAGCCAGACGTCTTTATTGTCTAAGAATAGATTATGATATAATCAAAAGATTAATCAGAAACTTCAAATACGCTTTCATATAGAAAACAATTGTAGCAAACGTTATAATAATAGATGACACAAAGTTGGACAACAAAAACCACCAAACTCTCAGGTAAAATGTTATAAATTCTCTAGAAGCATGTATGAGGGTGTGAAATTATGTGTACGTAATAATGGCTCACTAACTGACTTTTTTGATAGTTACATGGGCTTGTTGTTTATTATGTTTATCAATGATATGCAAGATCACTTAGCTGACGATAGTATAGATGTTTTTACCATTGAGGAATTACAAATTTATTTGTTGTTGCTCGCAGATGATACTGCTTTATTTTCTTACTCTGAACAAGGTTTACAAATTCTACTTAATAGATAAAACAGTTGTAATGGTTTTTAGACAAGGTAATAGACCTTCAAATATGTCGCTTAAGTATGACAATAAAATTTTAAAACAAGTTAAAACATTTACTTATTTAGGAGTAACGCTATCATCTAATGGAAGTTTTTATCAAGCTCAAAAATCATTGTCTGCCCAAGCTTTAAAGGCTCTTTAGTCTTTGAACTCCCTTTTTGATAATGTTAATTTAGATATTGAAGATAAATTAAAACTCTTTAATTCAATGGTATTACCAATTTTATGTTACGGATCTGAATTATGGGGTTTCCATAAATCTCCGGACATAGAACGTGTCCTTTTTATAGAGAATTAAGTTTAACTCTTTTAGATAATTATTATTACACATGGCCTAATATGAATAAATTCAATAAGCTTATGTCAACAACCAAAAGATCTGTTATAATTAAACTTGCAGAATTTGTCTATCTGGCTTTAAAGAAGAGAAACGGGAGTATTGTTGTATAATAAAATATGTATTTCTTTAAACTATTTTTCATATTTTTGCTGTATATTATTAGATATGTTAAATATGACATGTCTTGTATTGTATGTGTTTATGTGTACTTAAAACTGCCCATCTTTAGTTAAAACATGAACATGAATTATATATTTTCATACTTTTCAATATTATATTACTTTTGTTAATATAACCGCCAATTATGTGTGGCGAGAAACATGTATATATGTTTATGCTAATAAATACTTTGACTTTGACCACACTGTTCAACCAAAGGAGGAACGACAGACCGTGAAAAGAAACGAAAACGAAAGAGCGACAATTTAAATTCTGAAGATTACAATTAGAATTTACAAACAAACAAAAATATACGATAATTTGAACGCGTGCATGTGCAATTCGCTCATAGGCCAATAAACAACATTTTCGTCTGCCCTTTTTTTGTCAAGTATTTTGTAATATTTTATTTCAAAATGCATTCTATAATTTTTTTTATTACATGCAGCCTATTTATAGCTTTGTACACGTTAAATAAAAATTTGATATAATTTAATGTTATAATTTAATTTATATAACGATATCAACAAATAAATGCTGCTGTACCTGATATTAAGCAAAATTGCGCTTGATTTGTTTCCGTACTTATTTTCAGCGCGTCACATTTTTAGTGGTTACGTCACGTGTATAATGATTACGTCACATATCTAAATATAGAACGTCAAACAGTGACTTTATAGCAAAATAACACACACTTTCGGTTCTTCTATGTTCAATAGGGAAAAATACGGGTCGTGTTAGAATAATGCATAGTTAATGATGACTCTTGTGTGTTAAACTACAAAAACATTTTGATTTGTTAAATTGATAGATTAAATTCAATTAAAGCTATAATTAACATTTCAGCGATACATAGTTAACATATACTTCAATATGTTGAACAAGTGTCCAAACTGGGATTCAATTTATCAAGACATTTTATAAGTTAAATGAATGCATAGTTTGTAAAGAAAATACAAACTTTAAGTATTTTTAATTCAATTTATAAGTTAAAATTACCATTTAAGCACTTCATAGTTAACATGCACCCCAATATGTTAAACTAGAATCTAAAAACAGGGATTGTTTTATAAAAACATATTGATAAGGTGCATGATGCATAGATTGAAAGTAGAATTTTTTTTTTTATAATTAATGTATACATTATAATGAATTTTTAAACAACCCATACATAGTTTATTGAATAAGTGTAAGTTCAATACTGAATTTATTGCACGAGTTGAATAAAATTATATTATGCGAGCCTCTGGCGAGCATTATATTATTTTTTTCAACGAGTGAAATAAATTCAGTAATGAACTTACACGAATTTAATATTCTATTTATCACATACCCAAAATAGAGACCGTTTAAAGTGAAATAAGAGTCATTTTTCATTGACGCGCCTATAGTATAACGCTAACATTTAACGCGTCTTTATACTATGTTAGCATAACGCTAATGACGTCACGTCAAAAATATATGCACGGCCGTGCCATACCATATTTACGGAGTCGCAAAATCGGCACGGGTGTGTGATAAATGTAGTTAACATACACCCCAATATGTTAAACTAGTATCTAAAACAGGGATCGTTTTATTTAAACATATTTATAAGGTTCATGATGCAAAAAGAGCGTATATTTACTTTCATTGATATATATAACAACTATATGTGTTAGGATTAACAAATATATATTTCATTTGTATTTTTAGGTGTTTGGAGCTCAACTCCTAAGTGTTTGTGACTTTAACGTTAAAAAAAAGATATAAATGATATCGGGCCCACCGCACTGCGCTGCAATCGAATCCACCACCGTCTGCGTTGTAATCAATTTTTGTCAATTCTTTTTATTAAAATGGTAATATCAATTTCAAAAAGTTCCAAAATATGGTTGTTTTGTGTAATTATCATACATACGATGCGATGCCAGTGTATCTAGGGGTAGTTTTTAGTACATATGTAGTGTTATAAACAAAATTAGGCAAAAGTGGCGTCCCCTCGTCAAACTGTACAGAAGTGTTTGCATAACTGGTCATGATTTGCACCCCATGCGTGTAATAAGTTGGAAGAGTACATATGTGGGCTCCAGTCTCACTAGGTGTTATCAGTAGAACATAAAAACATAACGTACAAATAAGTCATAAACTTACCGACACCAGCAAAAAACTATCCGACAGCCATGTTTTTCCACCGCTTCTGCGACGAAATCTCCATCGCCGCACCGGTAGACCCACCGCTTCTGCGAAAGCTATGGCCAGTGTGTGTATGGTGTGTCACGAACAAGACTCGGGTTTCCACCACTAAGGTCAAGTAGTTCAAGGTCACTGCTGGGGTTAAACTTTTTCAATAGTTATGGTATATACATATAAATGGTGGTTGTTGTGTCCGCTCTGTAACTTCCATGTACATGAAAGTTTCAATTTTTATTTAAAAATATAAAGTCACCATAGATAGACAATATTTTGTGAACAGGACCCAGGTTTCTTTGTGGAACTTAGAGGTCACTGTTTGGGTTCGAACTTTGTCAATTTTTACCACCACACTTAACATGTAATAGGTGGTTTATAACTAGAATCCTTCGGGGGCATTTGTCACGTTCTGTGATAGCTCTTGTTTTGTATTTCTTCTATTGTCATAATTAACAAATTTAATTATATAATCTTTGTATTCTTAGAAACGTGCTCGAAATCCTCATTCCTTACAAATGTTATAATCATTTTATTGTGTTTTTAGCTTTACTTGAAACAACATAGCTACGGAAATGCAAAACATGATGACTTATGGAATGCGTGGGCAACGGTATGCATTGACAGTATCTTTTTTTTATAACATTTATTTCCTCTTTTATGCATTTAAGAATGCTGTATGATATAATGAAGAAATAAAACATTTTATTATATACTTATAAATGAAATATTGAGAAATATTGATGAAATAAAATGCGTATTTTCATTTTCCGTATTTTCACTGTAAAAATTTATTTTTCACTGCAGTGAAACATATTTTCCGTATTTTCACTGGTGTCTTGCCGGACTACTTTCTTTTAAATTCTACCAGTACACAAAATTTAAGCGAAAGTTTTTCAAATTTTATCGCAAAAAAAGAGAAAAATGTACATAATAAACAGAAAATTCAAGTTTTTTTCTATAAATACATGATTTATTTTCATCTTGTGGCATGAAAATTACCATATTTCACTCGTGGCTACCGCCACTCATGAAATATTTATTTTCATACCACTCGATGAAAATAAATCATGTATTTATAGAAAAAACTTGAATATCCTCTATTTATGTGTACTGATATTTTTGCCAATGATTTTTTTCCACATAACAGGTCAGTTGAATCTGTGACTTCGTTAAGGTGGAGAAGTTTATTTTCATTGTAACGAAGTTGATTTAACAATGCTATATATTTCATTAAGGAATAATGATAAATATGAAGCTTTGAATATGATTTTTCATAATACTTTCAAAAGCTTTACTTCTCCCATTCAAACTCATGTGTGTTCAAATAAAATATATGTTGTGCTCTATATCAATAGCAAGCTCACACGGACGGACACGACGTTGACGTGAAGAAAATAATGGACACATGGACACTTCAAATGAACTTTCCTGTTGTCAAGGTAACAAAACAAAACGGAAAAATACACGTGGAACAAAGTCGATTTTTGAAAAACAAGAATGCAAGAGACCCCGGAAAGTATCACAGTCCGTTTGAGTAAGTAAATAAATTGGTTATAATATTTTTTTTCAAATAAACAATTATAAATTGTTGTTGTTTTTTGTTTTTGTTTGTTTTTGTTTTCAGTAATTGTAATGTAAGTATGTCTTTGAAATATCAATCTAATATTTCATTCTATTGTTTTATACAAATACGTGTATTTGCATGCATATATAAAATTTAAAAAAAATAAACAAAGTTGTCAAAAACATAAAGTAACATTATAACAAATATTATAGGAAAATACGTTAAGTACAAAATTAACAATTTATAAGAAGAAGCCGTTTTATTTTTTATTTATTGTGTCTTTGAAATTCCACGACACTAATCATGGTTTCAGCTACAAATGGGAAATCCCATTCACCTACCTTACAAGCGCAAATCCAGATTTTAACATCACCAATTCCGGTATAACATGGCTGAGTGATTCAAGTCTAGGTATTATATATTTTGCTGTTTTATGTCATAATAATATCTTAAAAGGACTCCCCTGGGGTTTTGACATGAAGGGACTGGAAATATTTTTCGAGATGTAGTGAACCATTTGATGTAGGTATAGACCAATATCGAGTGTGTAAATTTTCAGATCATTCCCTCACCCCGTTTTTCCTGAATCATCATTGTAAGTGCAAAATGTACCCATAAATGAAAAGCGTTGCCACGTTTTTCGCTGAAATTGAGCTATAGATTATATTTTTTATTCCGGGTACAATCCTTTATCTGCCTTTACTAAGATTCTATTTTAAAACGTTTCTCTTGATTGGTATATTATGGTGGCTGATTTGTGCCATTTGTGTTTTCGTCCCGCCACCCCGCCAAGCGAAAAGTCGAGAATTTACAAGTTAAAATGGCGGGGTCGCGGAGCGAAAACACGCTAATTAGCGGGGGCGCGCGGCGAAGTTTAATAAATAAAACTTCGCCCCGCGAGGGCGCGGAGCGAGAATTAAGAAATAAACCTCAGTGGAGATCCTTTAAAGTTAAAAAGAATAAAATTGTAATTTTACTTTATATGCAATGTTGGCATAGTTAAATAAATATATAGAAATATGTAATTACAATACTTTGTCGATGAAATAAAGTGTATTATTTTTTGTTAATAATGCAATGTCCGGCTGTATGTTGATCTTAAAATCTTAAAACATCATAATGTAGAAAAAGTATCATTCAAGTTTCTTGTTTGTTTTTCTTTAATCAATATCATCAAAATTTAAATTTTGTGGAATGTAGACTCTTATAGTTCCGTTACCACCCGCTTCTATCGTGAAAAATGCAGCCTCTTATAAAGCTATAAAGTGATTATAACTTAATTAAGGTGAATTATTTTTCCAGAAATTGCACATGTTAATGTAGCAGACGACCAATGGATACTTGGTAACGTGGGACAATATGGTTACTACATGGTCAATTATGAGGACTCGAACTGGAAAGCTCTTATTCAACAACTTAGGTCAAAACACACAGTAAGTTCTTTTTTTTTTTATTATTTTTAAATCATTTCTATGTATATAATTATTAACAACAATATTTGCAAAAAATCTTATTTTCAGTTTTAATGGGTCACTGAATAAATACTGTACATCTGAAGGATATTTTATTCATTTGAGCCGCGTCACGACAAAACCAACATAATGGGTTTGCGACCAGCATGGATCCAGACCAGCCTGCGCTTCCGCGCAGTCTGATCAGGATCCATGCTGTTCGCTATCAGTTTCTCTACTTGTTATAGGGTTGGTAAGCAAACAGCATGGATCCTGATCAGACTGCGCGGATGCGCAGGCTGGTCTGGATCCATGCTGGTCGCAAACCCATTATGTTAGTTTTGTCATGACGCGGCTCATTTATTGATGAATTTAATTTTCTTTTTGTTCATTGTGAACATTTTTACTTGCCAGATTTCTATAGATGTATCATAAATATGTATTCTTGTGGTGGGGTAAATATCTTGTACATGTTACCAGTACAATATCACATCCACCCCATCCAAATTGCCTTCCAGACTTTGCTGGTGAAAAAAAAGCAAATTCCGCCACATATACATCTATACAGTTTGACAAGGTCGTTTTACCTGTACTCAATATTATTAGATTATTAAATTCAATAATGTAAGCCTCCAAACTATTTATATATTTATTAAGATTATACCTTTAAAACAGGACACATCGAAAATAAAAATGCGGCGTATTGATTGGTTACAACGTTCAGTCCTGCATTATAATGCAGACAGCCTTCTGAACTGATGATATACAATTAAAATAAGATTTTGCTGCTAACATTGCCCGTTCTTTTTATGTTACAGGTTATTTCAAATATCAACCGGGCACAGATCATTAATGATGCATGGAGTTTAGCAAGGTAGTTTGATTTTAATACGAAATTGAACTTCCATTCTAATTTTGTAATAATTTTCTTTGCATAATTTCATGTGCATATAGCATCAAACATGTTTTTTTTTTTTTTTTTTTAAACAATTTTTAATCATTATTTTCAGCACACCATTCACTGAAAAACACAAATTATAAGGACGAATTATTTTAAGTTTTTAAATTTTTATTGATACCACAATTAAGATAATATTTAGAAAGCAACAATATAACAAAACATTACTAAATAAAGTAAAGTGACATGTAGTAAAGTGACAGCATGGCAATGCTAAGAACATATTTACATAAATAGAAAAAATAATATAATTACTACACCTGCAATTTTATAATTGGAGAATACGATCATTATATATTATTAAGGACTAAAATATATTTTTGATTTTGAAACTTACGTCAAAATAATATTCGCTGAATTCTTAATTCATGTAATTCACATAATTGATATTTCAAAGCAGCGACATCGGAGGTCTGACATACACAATATAGTTTCATACACAGAATCGGCAGAGATCTAATTGCTATGTTATATTTGCAATGGGAACATTAGAGTACTGGTGTTCATGTTTAAGATTTTGTTATTTATGTTCAGTTTGTATTATAAAGTTACAAACAAGAACTTTAAAGGTCCTGTAGGATGACTTACTAGCTTTACTGTTGGAACAAGAGCTCTAGTGACCCTTCGTGCATTATGTAAGGCACGAGCGGGCACCTGCATACAGCCACCGACCTTTTGTAAGCAACCTTTAAATCTAGACAGACCAGTTCACAAAAGAAAAACAATAGCTTACAGGTATTCATTTGTTGCAGGGCTGGCCAGCTGTCTACCGATATAGCACTGAGTGTTCTTGAGTATTTAGACAAAGAACTTGATTACGTCCCTTGGCAAGCAGCAAGAAAACAACTTAATTACCTTGATGATATGTTCAGAAAAACTGACTTATATGGGAAGTTTGAGGTGAGTCTGACAAGCTGCCATCTACAAGAAATTGTTTGTTTATTTTTTTTCGAAGTACAGTTCACTCTCAATTGTCTCTGTTACAATGAAATCGGTTATAACTTTTGATAAAATTTTCACTATTTGTTAGAGGACTACCAGGCGCACCTTTTTGTGCACATATTTTTCACGGTATGTGTACGTTTTTCCTGTATCCGGGGCTCTCTCGTTTATTTTTGTTTATTTATTTTTTTTGTTAGACTGGTTCGTGTTTGTGTTTAGTTTGGATGGTATTTGCACCAATGTTTCCTTTTACATGTTGCCATTGATCTTAGATTTGTATTAAGAAGATGTGCTCTCTTTTTCATTTGATTTCAACCGAATGTTTCGTTTTCTCATTTACGTATAACATATTTAGAATAAAAGCAATTTCCAAAGGGAAACCAAGTATTTTTGCACATGCTTAATTCAAACAAATCATTTTAGATGTATCTCTCAAGGGAGATTGTGTACTTAAAGGCAAATTTGATTTTTTATATGCATTCATTATTCAATAGGTTTGTTTTTGTAGATTATCTCAAAGGCACGTTACACAATTAAAACAGAATATAAGATAAATTTTAATCATTTTTAAATCCATTAATGCTTAATGATTTATATCCCGCGAGTTCTCGGGGGAAATCACATTTAAATTTTATCATTTAACAGATCTTAAAGAAAGTTTCTCGGAATAATTGTGGTTTCAATATGTAACTTCCCCGGGCATTTAAAGGTATATACCTCTAGTCAGAAAGAAAATTACATTCTAAAACTATAAATGTAGGTGGCTTCTAGACCTAATATCATATAACTGAAAGCGTTTAGAAATATATAAGAAGTAAGAAGAATGTTAATATTAGTTTGTTTATACCGATTAAAACGAAATGTCAGGATTAACTGATGATTTAATATGCACATTCATGTATATTGTGTATTAAACATTCAAAGGTTTTATTTATAAAACTAAACTTATTCACAAACTTATTGACAGATTTGACAGTAAGCCCTAAACCGCAAATGCAACCAGTTTTGACTTCCAAAGTTAGTATTCGTTGAGTGTGCGTGACGCAATGATATAAACAAACAAATGAAGAGACTGAAAGTAATAACAATAACAAAACATAATAATCGAGTAGTAAGAAACAATGCATTTTATTAAGAAGCCAAGTTTCTGTTTTAATCAGTATAAAAGTAGTTTAAAACAAGTACAAATAATATTTCATATGCATATGAATATTATTTTGTAATGTAATACTTTCATGCGGTATGACATGATATGATTGTAACGTTACATAATATTATGCAATATAATGTTATTTAAAGTATGCATAAAGACACTGCATACATGTCGCTTTTACATTAACCTGTTTTGTACTAATTCACCCATAAATGTCATACTATACCTAAATTTTTTGTAATACATGACAAGGGTCTTTCAAATATTCTACTTTAAAGACACTGACATGACTAAGTAAAACATGTCCCTTATATGACAACATATTACATTCATTTTTTACAATTATAAAATTTAAAATTTATGGATAACAATACATGATATTTCAATAACATTCTAAAATTATCTCTAAAATTTTGATGTTTTATATCAAGTAAATGCTGATTGCATTCGCTAGATTAATATTTTATGAACGTCAGCCATAAATTTAAGAATATTTTTTTAATCTCATGGTTTCTGCATAATTATGTACAAATTAAAATTTACACTTATGCATGGATCATGTCATTTGCCTAGATTACTATCGTATATCTCAAACAAATACCTTTCTAATTCGATATTTTCAGAGAGATTCCAGAACAAATAATTATAAAAGTAGATTAGAAATGCCGTAATAAGAGAAAAAATAGCATTGATTTTTATATTGTTTATTATCTACGCCGAAATTACATTTAAATTGTATTAAAGTTTATCAGATGGTTTTCCATTGCCTGCAGATTATCAGTTATATTACTTTGTAAGTTATTTAACTGGTTTCATGCTGTAAATCTAATATAACAGAAAAATGATAATCAATTCTAACAGATTTGTCTCGTCATCAGAATCAATTCTCACAGATTTTTGTCAAATATTTATATAAATTTATGTATTGCTTTCTGAAAAAAAAGTATGAACTAGTCTTACAGTGTTTGTATATTGTAGGTCTGTTACATTCAATTATAATTATTCTTATATGTTATTAAACCGATTTTCTAATTATAAAATGCCTACTATGCTTTTTTTATTTCTCAAAGCGTTTTAATTTTGTTGTCCAAAACATTAGTCATTGGCTAATTTTATGAACCATATTTTGCTTCTGTTGCCTTTTGACAATAAATACAGTTATAGGGATTTAGGTTTTGATGGAAAGTCAAAATACTACTTTGTTTACATTTTTAAAACCGCTTTAATTTATTCCCGATGGCATAATAACTAAATGTTTTGTTAAAATATCCGTTCATGAGATTAATTTATCTTTTCCTCAATTCGTTTTGTTGATTTGTTGTGGAATATTTTGTTCGTATTTTTGATACAAAGTAATGGTAAAACATGTACCTATATGCATTCTTTATACACACAATAATCTTTTACATCGTGGGAATTCGATTTTGTAAACCTTGTTACATATCTATATAGCTGATTTATTTAAAGTTGTCAATTTAGCATAATTAGAAATATACAATGTATTATTATTTGTTTATTTTTATTCATTACTTTATATTGTTATATTTTTTTCAGAATTTCATGCTGTCTAAATTATCCGGCCCCTTCTCACATTTTGGAACGGACGACGAAAATGCGACACACATTGAGTCGTGAGTTTGAAACTTTAGCACAATTTATAGACAGGGAATCCATAAAAACTGAAACCGGTTTTTGCTCGATTATCGCCATGTCCTTTAATTAAGCTGGTTAGCTCTACACAGGTGCCCATAAAATAGTGAACGGGCATCCTCATTCTTCTTCCACTGGTTAGAAAATTGATGTCAGAGTTTTAAGTCACCGGAATTATAATAAAATACACAACTAAGTTTTACACTCTTGTTTGCACTAATAATGTCGATGCGAATCAACAATCAAAATTAATTGGTTCGACGACCGTTGTTTCATAAATATATTATTTAATAAGAACAACGCAATGCTGTTTCTTTAAAAAAACTGGCTGCAGTAAGAAATGAAAATATATTTTGCAGATATTTAAAAAGTAGTACCATCTTATTTTCTACAAAACGTCTACAAATAACAACTAAACACTCGAATGAAATATGCGAGAACGCTTTTTAGGAATAACGTTCAGTATACATAATAAGTGTGCAAATATGGTATAAAGCAATAAATATTGTAATTGATTAATAAATTTATCTCTTTCACAAAAAAGCTTTGCAAAACGTGGCCGACTCGTCCAAGAAAAACAAAAAAAAAACTTTTTTTTTTTTTGATTTGATTGCAATGCTATTTTAGGGAAATTATTTTTGGAAGCCTGTGCCCATTTGCCATCACAGGAAAGTAACTATCAAATACCACCGAATGTTGGACCTCATCCCTACAAAACATTTAACCTTTATACAAAGACGATGTAAAAATGGCTACACTATGTTGGCTTATATTTAAACAATACATTTTTATGTAGTATGTTAACATATATAATTATAGATATCCAAAAAATAAACGCAAAACCTGTACGCTTTGAAAATGTACTTATCACATAATAATTTTGGCATTGAATTTGATTTTGAAAAAAAGAGAGTTTGTCCCGAAGAGTTGTTCCTAATATGAAAACCTCGATTAAATGCAACTCAAATCATTCGAGCAAACAATGAATGTATGAAAAACACTAGTACGAAGGTACTCATCCATACGTTGTAACGATGAGTACCAAATATAATATAATTGCGCTCGCATTTTAAACCATGACATGTAAAGATGAATTTCAAAAGCATAGCGCCTGACGAATTCATAAAACTTAGTGTGACATGATAGAACAATCATGTAAAGTTTTAATGTTGATTACTTTTCTTCTTTTCTTTTTCCAGACTAATAAGGAGCGATATTGTGGAAATGGCGTGCTCTTATGGCTTGAAACAGTGCATTCAATATGCAAAACAGCTGTTTGCAAAGTGGATGGACTCTCCCGATATGAATCCGTACGTGTATATTCATTATAAACTAACTGTAACAGTAGACGGTGCTAGGGTGCCTTGTTTATTATACAAATATCGATATGTATGAATCAAGAACTTGAATGTTTTTAGAGTTTATGTCGAGTTGGAACCAGTAAGCATGAATTAATATATTCGGAACTTTAATTACAGTATTTAATGTTAATTGAATATTTTCAAGTTCTAAAATGATTGAGAAGAATTACATTACAGTATAGACCCCGATCTAAGACCAGCCGTGTATTGCACTGCTATCGCTGAAGGTGATGCCACAGAATGGAATTTTGCTTTTGACAAATACAAGGCAGCTACAGTAGCCACAGAGAAAGTGACACTGTCAAAGGCATTGGCATGCACGAAAAGCACGTGGTTGCTTAGCAGGTAAAAGCTTTCAAATAAATTAAATAGATAAAGCAAAGGTATGAAAACATGTAGGATCACGTTTGATGGATGTGGGACCATAGATTTTAAAATAAATGCTTTTTGATTTGATAAAAAATGACAAACTCTGAAATTAACTGACAATAGAATAAAAACATTGTGCGTTGTACGTACACTTTCGTCCGCATCCGCCGCAACACAATATATTGTTGTTTACAACGTAATTTTTCAGGGCACATGATAAAAGGAAACCTATGTACACAAATATCATATTTATTTTTTAAAAGTTATAATACATTTTAATGACTTAAAATCAAAAGAACAAATTTTGTCGCTCAGTATTGCAATGGCGTTAGATGATTGGATTTGCAATTAAGACTTTATAACGAACAATTTGCACAAACGTGAATTGTACAATTTCTGACATTTTTTACAAAATTCCACTTAATATTATTTGTATTGTAATGCATTAATGATTTATGCTAGCATTTTGCACACATGTTCAATTTATTAGATATTTGAATAGCATAATCGAGATAAAACATACTCAACTAGTAAATCTGATATAGAAATCCGATTGTTCATGTTTGATTTGTTAATTTAGATTTTGCAATGATCTATTTAACCTGATATTCAGAACTATCAACTTGATAAATTGTACAACCGTGTGAAAATTATTTATGTCTAGCTAGATTTGATTGTGCATGAAGCTTTAGCTTATTATAAATCTCAGATGCGATTCCTTAAATCACTCACTCTCAATGAGCTAAGAATTTATGTAAAGTTTTCTTGCTCTTGGAAACAACGCCTTGCCCCTGACGGGGTTTGTACGAAATTTCGTCAATTGGAAAATTCACTAAATGCCAGAGTCAGTACAGGAAAAGACTGAGATCCTCATCATCTAGCCACATTCGGTTTGATATACATCAACAAATTCAAAACTTGCTGATAGATCCTTGGCCATTGTGGGACCTAAATGGTGGAATTCATTGCCAGACTATCTGAAGGACATTACCAATGAAAATCAGTTTAAGGCCAAACTTAAAACATACTTGTTTGGACTGTTTTTCAACTAGAGTTGTAGATTGGCTGTGCCATCGATACTGGGTTTGGGAGTGTCTTGATCAAGCATATGTGTATATAGTCTTAACAATGTACAGCGCAATCGAATATTTAATACATTTTTGCGCTATATAAATGTCTTGTATTTTGTATTTGTATTTGTATTATGCATAGCACTTTCAGTCATTTTTTCAATTCTGATTTTAGATATCTTGAATTAAGTATTAATCCGGATGTAGTAAGAAAACAAGACGCAACATATGTCATACTATATATAGGAAGTAATCCGATTGGTCAGTCCTTGGCCTGGGACTTTGTTAGAGGCAGATGGGATTATCTATTTAACACGTGAGTGAATTAGAACTACATCTAACTTTCATGTACTTAGTTTGTAGTTTAAATATAATTCAAGTTAGTTTGATTGTGCATGAAGCTTTAAGCTTATTGATACACCCTCGATTACGTTCCTGAAACCAACCAATACTAAGCAATTAATGTAAAGTTTCTTGCTCTTGCCCTTGACGGGGTTTGTACGAAATTTCATCAATTGGGAAAATATATATTTAATAAAGTGATAAAAGATGGATAACTATTGTTACATATACAAAGTTGAATCTAAAGATATCAAGTATAATCATAGATTTTTGGAATCTTGTCCTTATTAATGAAAACAAATGTTTACCATTTTAAAAAGCATATACATGCATTTATTACTGAGTAACCATTCAACTATTTTAATATGTAAATACAATTGACAGTCAAGATTTTTATTTATTTTACATTTTAAACTGACATAATTCATTCGTTTTTAACAAGGTACGGAAAAGGAGTTTTCTCATTTGCACGCCTAATATCTGGAATAACTTCAACTTTTAATACAGAATTCCAGCTGAAACAGGTTAGTTTCCTTATTTCTTTCCAGCCTAATATATATATATATCTTCGATAGGTTCGAATAAATGCTGAGATTTTTTTCCGTTGTATCATTTTAACAATTTCTTATATGACAGTTTTGGTGTTATTTGTTTGATTGATTGATTGATTGATTGATTGATTGATTGATTGTTTGTCAAAACATGAAGTACTGCAGGTGTGGTTATCTTACAAATATTATTAATAAAATTCATTTTCTATTAAAATAGTTGCACGATTTCCTTGGAGAGAATCCGAATATGGGTACCGGAAATAGAGCGTTTAAACAAGCTATTGAAAAGACTCAGACAAACTTTGACTGGATGACCAAAAATCGGGAAATTGTAGCAAATTGGTTAGATACTGTTGGTAAAAAACACAATGCAAGAGTCACGGATGTTAGACTTCCGGTACATCTCATTCCAGACACGTATGACGTCACTTTGCAACCAAATATGTACGGTGATGACCCTGAATCGTTTAATTTTGAAGGACATGTGAAGATATATATGACGGCCAAAGAGGCGGGGCGAAATGTTACTTTACATGTTAATAAATTGAATATAAATGAGGAAAGCATTACTTTTGGAAAAGCAGACGGATCTCCAGGCGGCCCGGCATATAAAGGTATATAATTTAAGTTTCGTTTTAAACGATAAAACATCCCACAAGATCTAACTAACCTTTTTCTGAAACTTTTATGTTCAAAAGCTAATAACATCTTGCTAAGATATGCTTTTTTGTCTTTACAAAGTGCTTAATTAAAGTTAACACTGTATTAAAAGTTTGTTGCTTGTATAAATTGGTGTTCCTTTCTTTGAAGTACAACTTTACATACTATCAACGAGTGTGATACAATCCGCCAGAATATCACTTAGTGTTTTTTATTTTCTTTTATTTTATCAATTTTCTTCTGTAAATTTCGTTAAATAATGTTTAAGAAAAACAGTCTGAATTTTACGTCGGTACATATTCTTGACGTCACGTCTCAAGCTGAATAATTGTGAAGTACTGAATAATCGATACAGGTTTGATGTATTTCTTCACTTTAAAATTATAGCATTTTCATAAGAATTATATTAGGCTTAAAATAATGATATATATCAGTGTATCTATCTCTACCAAATGCCCAATACTTCTATAATAGCTTATTCTCAAGTTATTTTTTATGATCTTGCCTGAATTTACGAAGGTCAAAGAGAAAGTGACAAAGAGCGACAATTTGAAATTTTCTATCTCAATTCCGACATTGTCGCTGGACAGAAATACACAATTGAAATGGCATTTACTGGACCATTGGTTGGAGATTTAGCAGGATTATACCTTAGTCAATACAAGCGTGGAAATGACACTGTGTAAGTACGGTTTCCTTTCATTGTTTTATTATTTGCCGCGGAAGGAACTTTATCAGAAGATCAGTTCTTCTTGATGAGAATATTTAAAGTGTAACTTGATCAAACATGCATTAGATACCTGTTTTAAGTTCATAAGTGCGAGCACTTAAATACAATATATCTAAACAATCATTTTATACAATTCATTCTTTTCATGAAACATGGTGATTATGAAACATTTATTTATTCATATAAGGCATGACTCTAATGTATTACACAATCTATGAAACAATAATGACTGTCTGTTTCAGTCATTAAATGTAATACGTTCTTGATATTCATTAACTTGTTTGTTACGAATAAATAAAACTATTGTATTAACCGATTTATGCAAGTAAATATAGATGTTTTTGTGCCTTTATTACCTTGAGGGAACATGAATAACAACTTCATTTAGTTAATCATATCTCTTTATATAATATTTCTTCAAAGTATGAAAAATAATCTTTCCTAAAAGAGATTATTTCTTTACTAATGTTTCCAACCATTATTTATTCTAACTCATTTATTATATTTTAATGTAATATATCGATGAATGATATTTTATCTATATTTGAACTACAAAATATTTCCAGATACATTGCCACCACTCAGTTTGAGCCGACAGATGCAAGAAAGGCGTTCCCTTGCTTTGATGAGCCGCAGCTCAAAGCTAAATTCAACGTGAAACTTGCCAGGAAGTCGCACATGGTTTCTATTTCAAATATGCCAATCATCAGTCAACAATCCGTGTAAGTTTAAGCTACATATGTAGCGTGTTTACTTCTTTCATAGAAAATGCTTTAATAATAATAATAATATTAATTTATGTCAATTTAAAATAACAATAAGCAATTGTGCATATTTAATTCAAAAATGCAAATTTCATATTTGAATTTTAAATGCCATATTTGAATATTTATAAAACGATATTTTTTAAATGCTCTACGCATAGAAATGTAATTGAAAAATACGTTGTCATTCTTGACTGGAAGAGCTAGAGTGAATGGGTCTATAATGGAAGGTCTACGATACAACTTATAATTACTTTGAAATTATTAAGTATTAGACATAACAATAAACCAGGAATGAATTATACATAAAAGTTGTTTTTAAGTGTGAGACATATATTTATATAAAGTGTTCTAGAACAAAATATTATTTTTCATCAGATGAATGTTCATTCTGAATCACCTAGAACATTTACATTTTTCTTTTCAAAGCAGCATCTTATAAGAAAATCCAAATGAAAGATTGCATTGCTGTTGTTTTTTTTAAGTTCCAAATGCATGCTTCAAATATGTTGGTAGTTATCATTAAAAATGTTTGAAAGTGTATTTTAGGACTACGAAATTGTATATTTTATTTCATATTTTAGGAAAAATGGTTTTATTGTGGACACGTATAATACGTCAGCTATCATGTCAACATATTTACTCGCGTTCATTGTGTGTGATTTCAAGTACACAAATAGTACAACATCAAACGGTGTCACGGTAAAATTTATTTCTGCTTGTTTTTGCATGCGAATAATTTAGGCGTTCTTCACACTTTTGTCCGTACAAGTCAATGGTTAATTTTTGTATAATTGTTTTTGTCACTTCTGCATGTAAACTTTTGAACTTTTGCAAACGGTACTATTCATCTTTATGCGCACATTCAAAAGTATGGAGACACTATGGAAAGATTAACTATAAATCAATCTATTATATTTAGTATAGAGCATGGGCGAGGCCAGAATCGATCAATCAGACGGCAGTTGCCCTGGAAACCGGCACAAAAATATTATCGTATTATGCTGACTATTTTGGGGAGGCTTTCCCCTTACCGAAACAAGGTGTGATGTTTATACTTTATATTATACAAGACAATATAACAACAAACAGAAACAAAACCTGTCATATCCTTTATTTAAGTCTGAAAAAATGAAAAATATGGACGGTTTAGTTCTGACCTTGTATACTTAAGCAGAATCTATTACTACAATGTGTCATCCACTAATTCATTTGTACAAAAACGATTCTTTCAATTCAAATATTTTGTTAATTATTATATACATGTTTATACAAGAAACATTTAAGATAAAAGAATTATCATTTAAAAGAAAGTTTTTCATTTGCAAATTATATGTTAACTTAAAATGTGTTTAATGACTTGAAAGTTAATAATTCTATGTGCTTTAAATAGATATGATTAACCTTATTTACGTTAATTGAAAATTGAGTTTGCTGTTTTCAGTGTTTTTACTTTAGCTTTGACACATCACGTGAAAAAAAGTATGATGCCATTTGATATTATTTTTGTGCTATAAAATTTTTCCAAAACTCTTATTAAGGTCAGACCCACATACCTGCATTACAACACGTTCATAGCATTGATAAGTAGAAATCTATACATGTATCAAATGTATTCACTAGTCCGATTCTATTTTACTTTGTAAAGCTCTGTTTTCTTTGTTTGTTGGTTTTCTGTTCAAATTGCATTTATTTGAATGTACTTTCTTTTACCAGTTTATTATAGCAGTCTGTTTTGGAAATTTTGCAATTTTAATTTAATGGTATTTGATTATATTGTTGTCTTTTTATGAAATACTTTATTTAATTGTAATTGATTTGTCATGCACTGAATCTGCAATTTCGAGTTACGTTATTTGGTTTGTATGGAAAACTAGCTTAAATCTGCAGTTTCATGTTATTGGTATTACTTTTGCGTAATTTATATTTGAGCCGCGTCACGACAAAACCAACATAGTGGGTTTGCGACCAGCATGGATCCAGACCAGCCTGCGCATCCGCGCAGTCTGATCAGGATCCATGCTGTTCGCTATTAGTTTCTCTACTTTTAATAGGGTTTGTAAGCGAACAGCATGGATCCTGATCAGACTGCGCATTACTTTGGTTTTGTCGTGACAACCTCATTTATTTTGAAAATATTTCTATACTGTGTTTGTTAACATTATCATGTTATAACAGACATGATAGCAATACCTGACTTCGCTGCTGGTGCTATGGAAAACTGGGGTTTGATCACATACAGGGAGACCGCCATGTTGTTTGAAAAGGGAGTGTCTTCTGAAGGAAATTTGCAAAGGGTCAAGGTCGTTGTTGCTCATGAACTGGCTCATCAGGTAAAAATTAACAGAAAATTGACTCACTTTCGTTTAAAGCATTCAAGTTGCTTTATTTCGGAGACCGGAAGCAAACATTTTTATTACAATCTTTAAGTAGTTTTTATCGTTACAAAAGATTGGTTTATTGCGAACGTCTCTCCTGTTTCAGACATAGAAAGGTCGTTAATTACACTGTCACAGCTGCGAGGCACTTTTAAGTGTTGGTTTGTCAAAGAAGAAAACTCCTGTTGAGCAAGAAATACAAAATAGGCAATGTTTTTGTTGAAAGATTTCGTTCCCAATAAAACAGAAATAACAAATGTTTTATTGCCTGGAGGGATGTGAATAAAACTTGTTGGAGAAAATATGTTCCATTCCCCGACATAATTCAACGGGAAAAAAAACTCTTGAATTCTCTGGAAACAATGTTGATCCATTAAATAATTATCCTCAAAAGTGCTATTAAATAACAGACTGAAAGAGCATTTTAGCTTGAGGAGGTTTACTTGATATACTGACAATGAAATATATAGAGATCTTGTTCATTTAATACTTCATTCATATATGACGATTTTAGTGATGGGGAAGATAATGGTAATGTTAATGATGTTGATGATGATGTTGATAATGATGATTGCAATTATAATAATAAAATTAAAAATATTCTGATATATGACTTGATGATTTGATTGTTTTCAGTGGTTTGGTGATTTGGTAACAATGAACTGGTGGGATGATCTGTGGCTGAACGAGGGCTTTGCAAGTTTTGTAGAATATATGGGCACTGATCACGTGAGTCCAGATTGGAAGATGGTATGTGTTTGATTTATACAGGATATTTTAGTAAGTGTTAGTGTCTGTTCCATTAATTCTACATGCATGATGGGATACGTATGTTATTGAATTGTCTTTAAGCAAGAGTATTTAGTACAGTTTGAGTTTGTGTCAGGTCCAAAACTTCTGCATGCGTGTTGGAATTTCAAAGAGGTTAAGTGTAACGTAACGTACAAGACCGATATACCTAAATCATTTAACAGTAGAGTAAACTTTTTTCACAGAATTATGTTTTTCAGTTTTTACGTCACTAACTTCTGTATGTATGATTGGATTTCGTCGTCATTTAGTGTTACACATGAGGAGTAGATGATAAAAATCAAGCGTAAAGCAGGAGTTCGAATTTAGTTAATTTCAAACATATTTAATATAGCATTGCTAATAGAGTTATATTTAGAATTTGAATATTCATCATATTTGTATTTGATCCAAATATTATCATGCATGATAGCATAACCTTGAACTTGCATGTTAACACATAGAGACAATAAAAATTCATGTTCCGGGGCCATCCCTGTCCTACGGATGCGTGTCTAGTTGTTGTTTTTTCCACGTTTTTTGCAAGTGTCATTTTATATCTTGCCGATTAATAAAAACATAGAATATCCATTTCAATATAAATAGGTCCGCATGGTCCAAACATTTATTTTTACAAACCAGGAACAAACATAAATATCATTTCGCCTTCTAGCTACCGGTGATATGCAAAGTTCAAATTTCTGAATGGTGTATTACTGTAAAATATATTTTATTGTGTCTGAACTTGATCTTTGTTTATCAGACGAGATATCATAAAATAATATTATCTGTCCCTCAAACTTGAAATAAACCTTTCACAATTTTAGTATTACATTATATGATGCTTAGATAGAAAACCATTTCCCACTTTTATTATTATCAAATGAATGCTAACATCAAAATCTTTGACATGCTATCAGTGGCGTATAATGGTATATGAGCATTGCTATGGAAACATAACATTCAGTAAAACATCATTGCTAAGAACATTAATATTTTACAAACCTTATGATTTGAAATATCAGAGCATATGGCTTTTTAAAAGATGTTCAATGGTAGTTTGCTAACTATACATTTATCCATTAATTATTTTAGCAATTTAAATTCAAATGAAATCAACATATACCTTTAAAACTAATTTTGGAGATAAAAAGAATTATGTCAAAACTCAAATCAAGTCAAAATGTTTCAATTGTTTTTCTTTAGTTTGAGCAGTTTGTGTTCGAGATATACGAGGTATTCGACATAGATTCTCTAACTTCGTCACATCCGATATATGTTCCTGTTCAGAACCCGGATGAAATCAACGAAATATTTGATACCATATCATACGCGAAGGTAAGTAATGTAAATTGTTACCAGTAAAATTAAAGGTACCAAGTGTTACTTCAAGTGTAAAATAAGAATAAATAAACCATACTATTCCATAAGCCTTTTGAAAGGTCCTCATGGTTTTTGTAATAAAAACTAAATATACAATAATGAAATAATCGTTAGTTAAATGTCAATTAAAGTTCGATTGCTATTATCGTAAGTCAAAATTATTTTCCCGACTTACTGTAGGCAAAAATATATACCATATAATGCGCATTATTTCTATTTGAGTATATGTAACTCTGCTATGGAAAAAAACCTCGTTAAATGATATGAAATGTTATCAATAGAATTTGTGAACAACTATTTTGCAGGGTGGGTCTGTCATCAGAATGATGAGGTTTTTCCTTGGTGAAGACACATTTAAGTTAGGTCTGCAGGTGAGAATTTGTTATTTTTACTTATTTAAGTCTTTTTATTTGTTTGTGGTTTTTTTTTCGTAATAAAAGTTCATTGTTGAGATTATATAATATCATATGGTTTTCAAAAGTTCAGTATGTAAAGACGGTTTTTATTTTGATCATTACATGATGTATTTTCAGCCTCTTACGGAGAAAATGAGGTAAAATGAGGCGAAAGAATTGTCTTAAATAATAATTACTAACTTTGAAGACAACAAAGGGTTTAAAATGTAAACCATGTTTAAGGAAAACAACAAAATGTACAGTGTATGTAGATTATGCATTTTCCAGCGTTATTTCTGCTATACTGTTTTTACTGTTTATCTGTTGTTTTTCTCAATACATTAAAAACAAAACATTAAAACTGAGAACAATCAAAACATTATAACAAAATTAAACTGAGTCTTTGTTTCAGGAATATCTTCATGCTAGAAAATACCAGAATGCTGATCACAATGACCTCTGGGATGCACTTGAACAGGTACAATTCTTGTAACAAAACTGTATCAAGTCTGACTTAGTGGTGGCGTGGCCAAATGGTAAACGCGTGGGACAAGTTATCTTAGAATTGCCAACCGCTTTGGTAAAAACCCTGTCAAGGGCATGCCGTTGTTGCCTTGAGCAAGAAACTTTATTCATTGCTCGGTACTGGTTGGTTCCAGGAATGAATTGGAGAGTGCTTCAATAAGCTTATAGCTTCCAACACAATCGAACTTAAATAAATTTGTATTAACTAAAAAGTGACGATTGATATTTGATTGTTAAAAAATGTTCTAAAACAATAGGTGACCATTAAATCAAACCAAGTCAGCAAAATTTTCAATTCTGCTGTTTTGAGCGCTCTTTGGGTATTGTGTTCTTTTATTGTTTTTTATTGTTGCATTTTTATCATTTGCTGATAAGGGAAAAGAGTTAGATTTCAAATTGTATTCTATTTACTGTTGAAAATTCTTATACCGTTAAAAAAAGCTTTACAAAACCAGTCATGTCGAGTCCATAAATGTATAAAAAAAACTAGTATGGTTAGTGAGTTGATCTGTGATGTGTTTGACCCTTGAAATATACAAACTTTCAGTCATTTGAGCATAATAAACAACAACAATTTAGAACAATAAAGTCTAGTTTTATTGTCAGACCCATACTTTTTATTCTTCAGTCAGCTGTCTTAAACATGTCTAGGAAATAATTTATTTTGTCGCTGTAAAATACGGCAAATATAGACAGTATCTCTACATAAGTTCACTATTATTGTAACATGTTATGTATATCTTTGTGTTGAAAGGTGAATACATAAATAGTATGATATATTTAAAGAGTTTGAAGAAGTTAAGACGACGACAACCGGCAATTATCTTAAATTTATCGTCCATGAACAGGCTCAATCAAACCGAGACTGCAACAGTTTCAGTTTTGGCGTTTTCGGAGCCCTTTTGGATTTTGTTCTCTTTTGTATGTTTATACAGTCATACTGAATATACGAAAATGTATATATTTGTGTTTTCAATACTGTGATGTAGATATTTTAATGTACTTGTATTACAGCAAGCAAAGAAGGAAAATAAACCTATTAAAGTTCGGGAGGTCCTTGATACATGGATATTGCAGATGAACTACCCTGTTGTAACGATTAGCAAAGATGCCAATGAAAAGGTGAAAATTAAACAAGAACGTTTCCTCAAGGATAAAAATGCAAAGGACCCGGGCACATACACATCACCATTTGAGTAAGTTGGTGTGGAACCTTATATATAACTATCATTATGTAATTACTCATGTCAGTTCACTATCATATTTAATCAAATTTGAAAATTGTGTTGTAACTGCACCTATTTTATTCAATATAGCATTTTGAAATTGTCAATTATAGGTATTTTGTGTCAGATATCTTCATGTCTTTGTATATTGTATTCATGTCCAAATGCATGGACAATTATCGACATCATCATCACCATTGTTATTATATTTTATTATAATTATCATTATTATTATTAGTATAATTATTATTATTATTCGACACGTTAATCAATGTTGTTCAGTATTTCATGTTTATTTAGTTGTAACACAGTCTTAAATTAATACAGATGTACTTTATTTTAATTGCAAGCTCAATTGCTTTTCTTTGTATTTATTTATATTTATGATATCTTGGCAATCTTTTTCATGCAGGTGAAAACTAATTAGATGGTAAAAAGTATTTTGTATGCCGATATGCCAATAAACCTGAAATTTGATTTATTATTATATATCTGTCATTCATAGTTACCAGTGGAAGATACCATTTACCATGACAACAAGCACTGACGCCAAGTTCAACCAAACAGATAGTGATGTCGCATGGCTAAAGGGTCAAGAAAGGAGTAAGTGATGTTTGTATTTGTTTGATAGAAAAACAACCAATTATTTTATTGACATAGTTGTATTCTGAATACAGGCCGGTCAAATATGGATTGACAGTTTTATATCATTTTGTTATAACTGGTCAATGTTCCATTAACAACACTAGAATTTATTTAATAGCATTCTTACGATTACAACTGTGACCCGCGTCATTACAACTGTGTCCCGCGTTATTACAACTGTGTCCCGCGTCATTACAACTGTGTCCCGCGTCATTACAACTGTGTCCCGCGTCATTACAACTGTGTCCAGCGTCATTACAACTGTGTCCCGCGTTATTACAACTGTGTCCAGCGTCATTACAACTGTGACCCGCATCATTACAACTGTGTCCCGCGTTATTACAACTGTGTCCAGCGTCATTACAACTGTGTCCCGCGTCATTACAACTGTGTCCCGCGTTATTACAACTGTGTCCAGCGTCATTACAACTGTGTCCCGCGTTATTACAACTGTGTGCCACATCATTACAACTGTGTCCCGCGTCATTAAAACTGTGTCCCGCGTCATTACAACTGTGTCCCGCGTCATTACAACTGTGTCCAGCGTCATTACAACTGTGTCCGCGTCATTACAACTGTGTCCCGCGTTATTACAACTGTGTCCAGCGTCATTACAACTGTGTCCCGCGTTATTACAACTGTGTGCCACATCATTACAACTGTGTCCCGCGTCATTAAAACTGTGTCCCGCATCATTACCACTGTGTCCCGCGTCGTTCAAGTGGTCATGCATGTTTCATGTGTTCAGCTTTAATCGGTATTAGAGGGTGTGGATAGAACTGGTGCTAGGAAACGAGGGAAATGTTGAAACTTTTATTACCGTCCATAAGCAGAATGAATCATTTTGCAATTTTCACGTTTTAACTATTTTTTTTCAGTTGCTCTCAAGCAACTTTATCTTTATCCCTTTATCTTGATCTTTTTTTTCATTTACCACTGAAGCCAAAACAAATATATTGTGCAACATTTGAATTTTCCGGTGTTTGACGAACATAAAGGTTACCACTTTAACTTTTCAATAATTTGATATTCTATTTAATTGTAAAAACGATAAAACTATTCATACATTATTTAATATATATTTTATATAGGTTTACAAAGAGACTATCCGACTGGACCTAATTCTTGGATAATTGGTAACATTCAACAGTACGGTGTTTATAGAGTTAATTATGACGATGACAACTGGAATAATCTTATACATCAACTCAAAACGGATCACAAGGTAAACGATTTGTATCTGATTGATGCATGGATTTAGTATATGCCTAATTGAGCATCACTTTTGAGGTGATTAAGAGAACCATCAATGTAACAATTATTATGATATAAGTATACTATTTGAAAAACCTGACTGCGATTTATTTTTACTAACTGTGCGATGACGGTGCTGTTACTTTAGTTTATATAATGTTTTATATATATAATAAGTTAATCTGCATCTTACCGAATCTTAAAAATAAATATCAAAATATCATATTTAACAATTGATTTAAACATTCATTCTCTATTCTTGTATAAAGATGGATGTTGAATTCTTTCTGTATATATTTTTCAGGCAATTCATGTGCTCAACAGAGGTCAAATCATCAATGACGCATTTGGACTTGCTCAGTATGTATTGCTCATTTATCGCATCATGTTGTAATAAAATATATGACAATGTTGATATATATTGATACGGGTTTTGTTTTTTAGAGTTTTTTGACATTTTTGTGAGCATCTGAAGAACATTAGCATCAATGCAATATTTATTATTACAAACATAATTTGTCTGTTCATGAAATTAAATGACATTTGCAACATGCAACACAAGCAAGGAACCCCACCGGTTATTTTGTTTCACTTGTACATGGATAGTAAATATAACATGTCAGGATATTACAAAACCACTAAATATCGTATTAATATTTTATCTACTTATTGTAATTGCTTCACATTTATGTTGCATTGTAAAGAGCTAAGATGTTATCAATGGATATAGCACTAAGGACACTGGAATACCTGACAGAAGAAACTGAGTATGTTCCGTGGGTGGCGGCCGGTGATCAACTCGGTTATATACATAAGATGATCGCCGAAACAGAGCTATATGGAGCATTCGAGGTAAGTTGTATTAATGCAACTGTCAAATTATTTGGGACAATTCCAATGTCATTGTCTGTATTCAAACCTTATTTTGATATCAATTTATTATAGATAAAATAAAATTAATAAAGAAGCTTAAAAGATAGAGAAATACTTTTGTTTCAGAAAAGTCTCAGAAAAAAAATTCTTTGTTACGCCTTTTATAACTAATAATAACTAAATCTCAATACTGGATGGTAGGCCGAAATATGACCTCGTCAAGATTCAAATTAATCATTGAAATTCGTGTTGCACCAAGCATATGTAATGTGTTAAATTCTACAATTGATATTTATTTCTCCTTATTTACTTTTATCATTGCGTTGATATAAGTAATATTTGTTGACGTTTTCTCAGCGTTTCATGCAAGCCACTGTCAGCAAACAATACAATAGACTTGGATTGGACAATTCCGGTGCCAGCCATCTTGAATCTTACGTTAGGTCAGAAATTGCAAGTCATGCTTGTGGCTATGATATTACCAATTGCACAGAAACTGCCAAAAAACTTCTACAACAGTACATGGATCATCCTGATAATAATCCGTAAGATAATTTCACTTTTTTATTAGTCTTGATATGAGCCGTGTCATGACAAAACCAACATAATGGGTTTGCGACCAGCATGGATCCAGACCAGCCTGCGCATCCGCGCAGTCTGATCAGGATCCATGCTGTTCGCTTACAAACCCTATTACAAGTAGATAAACTGATAGCGAACAGCATGGATCCTGATCAGACTGCGCGGATGCGCAGGCTGGTCTGGATCCATGCTGGTCGCAAACCCATTATGTTGGTTTTGTCGTGACACGGCTCATATAATGAACTTAAAGGCCCATTATGTCTCAGAAATGCTTTTATCTGTATTAATTTTGTCAAAAGTTTTTAATTTTGGTGTACTTTTATAGTATTCTAAAATTAACGCATTGGCCATTAAACTGAAGAAAAAAATATGTAGCCTTTTGGCCGTTTGTAAAATTATAGTGAATTATTATCTTGTATAGAAACCAAAATACTACTTTTTTACATTTTGCTACATTTATGAAAAATAATTTCACATTGATCACTTCTTTCACCATGTAACACGCATCTAACATTTTCTAAAACAATTATTTAAAGATCATTAAATCCGTGTTTGTCCTTTCTTAAGAAATAAAAATTTATCTATTTCTGAGGCATAATGTGCCATTTACCAACAACCTTCGTTATTATATATTCACGCATTAATAATAGTTATGTGTTGATATCAAAACAGCCATAGTGTTTACCCAAAAGCGTTTATCCCATAACGGTTACCTTGAGAATTCAATGCGGATATAATCAAGCCAAGATATAATATTTAATGTTGTAAATTTAAAATCGTGATCACTGTAGTTATTGTTAGCATGTTTATTGATTAAATATATAGAGGACATTTGTTTAGTTCAGTGTTAGATTTGGATATGTGTCACCGAGTGAGGACCAGTAAGTATATTTCACGAGTGACGCAGCTACGAATGAAATTTGAACTTTTGGTGTTCATGAGGTGACATATATTTCGATCTTACACTAAACTAAGAAATTTTCTTTTTATTATACCCAAAGAAACGTTGAAAACGACGCACATGATTAAGTTGGTTCCCACTACTGTGTACCCTGGTATATCGCTGAGACAACGTAACAGGCTTAAATTCAAAACAGTAAAAAATATCAAATTGATATTTTCACTGTTTCAAACAGTGAAATATCAGTTTATATTTCACTGATATGTTTCTATAAAACACCTAAAAGAATGCAATAAAATGCCAAACCAATCGCTAATTCTACAATCCGTCTGTACATACGATACTCCAGTATTTATACGATACTCCAGTATTTATACGATTCAAAAATCCAATGCAAATCGGAAATATGAAAAAGTAAAAAAAAGAACTAGTAAATCATACTTAATAGGGCGCTCTTTACATAACTTTAAAACCGCCAAGGATTAAAATGATATGGTTAACAAATTATAAACAAGTTGGAGAAATCTGATACCGATTATATGTTGAAATGGAGATAAGCTCTCATAAGGAAGAGCATTGAACATATCTCTTCTAACATCTTGTATCTCTCGTCTTTTCTATCACCATATTCGTCCTTACATATCTCCGTAGTTGTTACTCGTCCTTTATATCCCGTATTGAACTCGTCCTTACATATCCCCGTATTGTACTCGTACTTTCATATCACCCTTTTTGAACTCGTCCTTACATTCTCCGTATTGTTACTCGTCCTTTATATTCACCGTATTGTACTCGTCTTACATAACTCCGTATTGTACTCGTCCTTACATATATCCTTATTTTATACGTCCTTTTATATTTCTGTATTGAACTCGTTCTTATATATCTCCGTATTTTAATCGTTCTTACAGATTCCAGTATTGTACTCGTCCTTACATATCTCCGTATTGTACTCGTCCTTAAATATATCCGTATTGTACTCGTCCTTGATTATCTCCGTATTTTAAGTATCCTTATATATTTCTATACTGTTCTCGTCCTTACATATTTCCGTATTGTACTCGTCTTACATATCTCCGCATTGTACAGATCATGATGATCTTCTTGGTCAAGATTAAACAAATTAAAACAGTGCCTCTACATATAAATGACTTTTCCTTAAAACGGAGAATAGAAGAAAATTACACAAATCGACATAACTGGAAAGTCTTGAAAGATAGTATTATGTCTTTGCAAGTACCCTTACTCTGTTAAATTAACCTAATATTTGCGAGCCAGACAGATTGTTCGGATTGGTGAAAATATAATGTGACAGTAATACGGCCGGTGATATTGAATAGATTACTAAATTCAATACTAACTGCATGTTTTCCCAGACAAAATACGTATATATCTCAATCAAAATAGATGAATTCTTTTTTATGATAGAAGCAATATAATTTATTGTATGTGGGCTTGAGTTGAAGAAATATAGTATGGTAACACAGTACATATATTTACCAAATAATTGAAATAGTATGTTAAAGATATATTATGCTCAAATTTGATATATGAAAGCATTAATCATTGCTACACAGTCCTTTCAGTAAAGATAAAATATATGTTTTGAGTACACATACAGTATATGTAGAGCGTTTTATATTCTACACACCCTATGAATGCATAGCGTATTTTTTTTTAATGACAGTTTTTTGTTGTTTTTAATGGCAAACTTCACTTGTCTAGTTATTTGGAATACAGCTTCCCAAACACAGTTTGTGCATTCTTTAATTCAAAATAGACATTTTCAGTAAGAATTTGAAAGATTTCAATAAATTTCTGCAAAATAAGTATTTCACTTAAAGATGACCTTGTATATCTTTAAATACGAATAACCATGACATCTAAACAGTTACTCTATGCTACATACTCATTTTAATATGAAAGTTTTTCACCAGTATTTGATTGTTTATTCTTTAATGTTATCTTTTAAATGTATATAACACATTTCTTGCAGAATCGAACCTGAACTGAAGTCTACGATTTATTGCACGGCACTGCGAGAGGGCGGGGAGAAAGAGTGGGAGTTTCTGTTTCAGAAATATATGACGGCAACCGTTCAAGCAGAAAAGTCACGCCTACTAAGTACTCTTAGTTGCACGAGGAAAACGTGGATTTTGAACAAGTAAGTAATATGGATAAGTAAGTAATATGCATTGCTTTATTTAAAATTTACCTTCATATCAACCATTTTATAAGTTTTTTTACTTGTTTTTAATGTTAGAAAGTCCATAGCTATTTGAAACATTAAAATTAAAGATTATTAAACTTATGTATGATTGAGTAAATTTGCTTTGTAATTGCTCTTTAAAAGTCATAACAATACATAATAGAACTGAAAACACCATTTTTTTTTTGTTCCACACTTTTTTAGAAATTAGAGTATCAATAACTTATTGCTGTTATTATTGTTCTTTAAGGCTTCTGGAATACGCTCTAGACACCAGTATTGTGAGAAAACAAGATGCTTACAAAGTGTTCATCTACGTCGGGAGGAATATCGTCGGCCGGGCTGTTGCTTGGGATTTCTTCAGGTCAAAATGGGATGATATCTTTGAAACGTAAGCATCTAGAAAATCAATGTAAAACAAGTAAAACATCGAGAGCAGATCTTTACATGTCTCTTTTTTTTAAAACCACTTTGCTCTACCGCCTTTATAAAAGCATAATTTCTTTGACCTATATGTCACAATACCAGTATGATTTTAAATCCCTTTTACAATCAATTTAGATTTATTGTATACATGTAAAGATTTACGGTTTTTGTTCTGTATTAACCCAAGATTTTCTATGTTTAAGAACACTACCTCGAACATATGGTGTACATTAGTTGTTTCTGGACCAATAATTTTTCACATTGACTTTTAATTGTAATGAAGAACAAATGCTCGAGAATAACACTGTCAGTTCTGTCGTTTTCAACATAAATTTTGCGTTGATAATATTTTTTTTCCTCAACTAGTGAAATATCTATTTGTTTAGATATGGGACTGGATCATTTTCCTTAAGCGATATCGTTTCTGGTGTAACGGCATCATTCAATACAGAGTTTAAACTGCAACAGGTACGAATGTATAAAATCACAAAGTTAACCAAATTTGTGTACTTTTTTATGCATTTTACCTCTGCAATTATAATCATTATAATTCTGTTAAATTTTGATTATTGTCCTGCATATGGAATGTTTTTTCGTTTTTTTTTTTTTTGTTGTTGTTTTTTTTTTTTTTTTTTTTTTTTTTGTTGTTGTTAAAAAAACGAAGAATATTTCTCCATGTTTTAGTTTTTAACCTTTTACGATATTTATCCTACATTGCCTTCCAAAGTAATAACGACTTACAGATTATAACGGTTGACATATAAAAACTTCTGTCGCAGAAATAAAGTCCACAGAAATAAAAACGGCAAAATTTGGAGCCCGCAGAAAAAACACTTATTTGGTTTATTGTATATAACGAAATGGTGCAATTAGAAATATAAATAATGATATTTGTAACATGAGTGATATTTATATGCCTGTTATTTGTATTAGGCATTACTATACAGTCTTAGTAGGTTATATGAATTCTTTCATCTAAATTAAGATTTTTATAGATATATTGGGAAATATCAAAATTAGAATCTAATTCAAGTTTTGAAAATATGCATATTTCACTCGATACATTAATAGAATTTAAAGTAATATTTGAGTCGCGCCATGACAAAACAAACATAATGGGTTTGCGACCAGCATTGATCCTGACCAGCCTGCGCATCCGCGCAGTCTGATCATGATCCATGCTGTTCGCTATCAGTTTCTCTACTTGCAATAGGGTTTGTAAGCGAACAGCATGGATCCTGATCAGACTGCGCGGATGCGCAGGCTGGTCTGGATCCATGCTGGTCGCAAACCCATTATGTTGGTTTTGTCATGTCGCGGCTCATTTCACTTTTTTAGCTGAAGGATTTCCAAGCAGCTCATCCGGATATGGGATCAGGATCTAGGGCCATGGCTCAAACTATAGAAAATACAAATACAAACATACAGTGGATGAAGGACAATTATGATACTGTAAAGAAATGGCTCGAGAACTACAAGAAGGCATAACGACGTCACAATGACGTCACTTGGATTTATGCAAGCGTTAAATGACAAAAAAACTGAATTAGAATGCCTGTTCTTTAGAAGAATGCATTTTAAAATATTATAATCGGACAATAGTTTATATTTTCCTACATTTATTTGCAATGTAGTATTTGAATTTCAAATAAATGATAATTTTTCAAATTGTTCTTTTTTGTGGTTAAATTTGAATTTTGCTAAGATACTGTTTTGATCATTGTAGTTTATGCAGTTGACATTTGCAATTATCACTTTGTCAATTTGGTTCTGCGTCTTACATTATTTGGTGTTAATGCCTTCCTAAAGTTAGAATATAAGTAATGAAGCATAGTTAAGAATTACTATAATTCAGAATATATACATTATACGGAAACGATGGACAGGTAATATTTAAACAGTTCAGCAGTTAAACCTTCGGAAACATTCATATCTAGAATTCACAAAATAAGACAAGTGTCTAAGAGGAAAGATGAAAATGGATTAATCTTTCCTGAACACTCTTGACAAGCATAAGCCCCATCCTTAACATTTGATAAGACGTGACTCCTCACTAATTTTGTTACATGTTTCAAAATTCCAGTTCATGGTAAATTTGAATACTGCTTTAGCCTGTGCTAGAGGGCGTGGACGGTAACTTGCACTTTCTATTACCGTCCATGAACAAGCTCAATAAAACAAGCCTGCAACATTTTCAATTTTGTCGTTTTCTGTGTTCTTTAGGGATTCTTCATTTCTCTCTGTTTTACTATAAGTATGGTTTTCTAATTTTATCCTTTTTTAAATATTTATTACATATATTCACTAGTCTTTTGTAGAGTTTAAATATTAATATTAGTTTACCTTTTTTAATGTAAGTAAGTTTTCATTCGTTAAAGATAACAATGTATGTTTTTCTTTCTTTATATTTGGATTATGTTGTTGTTGTTTTTGTTGTTTTTCAAATAACTACAGTAATCAAAATTTCGATCAGGATTCAGTAACTGTACAAAACAATTTTTCGTTTTTTTAAACATGATACTTACAAAAACTTATATGCTAGATAAATATTATCAATCAGTACTAACAACATAAATATAGTGGAAGCAATACAAATATGCCAATTGGAAAACTTCTAGACCGAGTAAGGCTTCTCAATTTGTCATTTGCCTGGTAATATTTCATTACAATGTTTTAAGAAAGATTCGCCTCATTTTTTGACAGGATTCTGTAATTCAAGCTATGAAATACAGAAAATAGATTTAATAGGTTTTAGGATTTATTGTATCTATCTTACTTACACCATTTCAAAATTTAGAGACTACGATAACAGCTTTTTGAAGACAACAATTGTTTACGTGTGTGAGTATTTTGTCGAGGATACCCTTTATTTATATACTGGCACCATAGCATAATAAAACTTTCTATGTTTAGGTGCAAAACCCCAACAAAATAACAGCATGAAGAACAATGTTGAGGGGACAAAATGAATTTGCATAATTGCTCTTAAGTGTATTCTAATTCATGCGTAAAATGTTATCCCGTCTTCCATTAGTAGTCATCTTCCCACGAGTAGTTTCAAATAACTCATTTATGTACTTCCTTCTTTTATAAGGATAAGATATAAAAGTATTCATTCAGAACAATTGCCTTATTGATATTCAACTATAACTCATTAATTACAGCTTCTTCAATTCCATAACATGCAAATCGTTTACTTATGCATAAAACGTATGTTTAAAATAATGAATGAGATCAAGTTTTTCAACGGCATGGTTATGTTAAAAAACCCAATGTACACACATTTGCTGAAGATCAGATAAAGGGAAATATTTTTGTTTTCTTTTGTTATTACATGGTCTTTGTAACTTCTTTTGTCTTTGCTACCAGAGTGACTTATTTATTGCCATTGTGTGTTCGGTTACAGACATAGAAACGTCATTAAATTCAAATCCATAGCTGAGAAACATTTGTTATTGTAGTTATAAAGCTTCAAACGAGTCAAAGTATGGCAAAGGTTATGTTTTGTTGAATAGGAGACATTGGTGTGCATAAGACAGAAACTTTAACAATTTTTATTGCTTTTTACGGAAGTTAATAAAACTTGCAGGAAAAGATACGTCTCATTTTCTGTAATAAAAACAGCTGAATAAGCTGAAAGAAAATTTCTCTGAAACAATGATAGTCTCTGAAAAGGTCCTTACAAATGACATCAGAGGGAATAAAACTAATTCAAGGGCTGTTTTAGAAGAGATGTATAACTTGATTTAGTAAATTAAAATAAAATAGATAAAATGTCCTTTATTGGTGAAAAAGAAAAATTAAATTACAAGAATAATTCCTTTTTCTCCAAATATGTTCTTGTTTCTCAAAATACCCGGTGTTGATTGGTTGTAAATAGGGTTCTTTGGCGAAACGGCTGTCCATTCCAAAATAAAATATGTCTACAAGAAAAAAATGTAGGTTTTAATCTATGAACATATAATATTTCAGATTAAAGTAATTCTTTCTTGTTAAAAATACATTTTTATCGTTGACCTTTATGGAAGAAAAATATATTAAGTGATCTGTAATCTTATACTGCAACTTGCCTGTAACAGTGAGAGTTATAGCTAAAGTTTCTTAAATCATGCAAAATTGTTCACATAATCCGTATTTTTGATTGTAAAAAGATCAGTGAATGAAAGAATTTGTATTGTATGTAATCTTTGACAACGATGTATAACAAGTCTGTAGTGGAAGAAAAGATTATCATAATAAACGATCACATGTATTCTGGTCTGACCCACACAATTATTCATTATTTGTATGTCTACTGCTTGTCAAAGAAAAAAATCATTGTGTTGCATTAAATGTTTGCAAGACAAAGAGATCAATTCACATCAAAACACTAACAAATGCGTGAAAATTGTTATTAATGGTATCAGGTCAGATGGTAACTATTTAGTATATTAATAACGGCTCCAAAAATAATTTATTATAACAGTATGTATATACTATTTGAAATCTTACATTATAGGTAAACTGATGCAATTAAAATGAGCAAAAAATAACAAAACAAACAAAAAAACACATGTTCAAGGTAAAAAAGAAATATACTCATAACCATTTTATACATCTGTTTTTATGCGAGTCTTGGCTCGATTTTAAATTTGTGTCATTTCATTTTGCATATTTAATAAAAATAAAACGGAGAAAGAAAACAACTTATTTTTGGAAACTTTGCATAAAATTAATTATTTCAGACCGGCATGATATAGAACGGAAATCTCGGGTATATATTCCCTGTCCTTTCGTATTAAAACGCCCAAAAGATGTCCATTAAAGATTCAAAGTACAAGAGATGAATGACTTATTGCTTGTAACATTTCATTAAAATGTGTATTTATTCAAATGGCTTCGAGTTAAAATCCTTATCCGGAAGAATTATGTTATCAGGTAATTAGACTCGAGTCAGACAGATTGTTCAAAATTATTGGAAGTTAAACAAGGCAGGTCTTCGGTCAATGATACCAAATGGATCACTTAATCTTATACAAATGCATATCTGAAATATTCCCAGACAAATTGCGTATAATCAAAATAATCACTACAAAAAATATTAGAAATGAAATCGCTGCCGATGGCATATAGGTCATGAGGTACTGGAAAGTTGAATATCATATTTATTCCACATTGAAAAGTAAGGTTTGTTATTCAATAACATGATAGGAAGTGTTCAGTAACTTCCGTTTCAAACAAATGACTGGCATTCGTGTTTATGAGTTAAAGCAGAATTTTGACACGAATAGTACACCTGATTTTGAAGTTGCATAAGTTAACTACCGGTTTTTGAAATTGTACCTTTGTTTTCATGATAGTTGAGAAAGCAACGTCATCAAATAGCATAGTACAAGTATGTTGTATTCTAAATTTACATCAAATTACATTGACATTATACAAGTCACATGATGTCTTAACAGCTTTACAGGTGGATTAGATTTGTAATGTCAAGTCGTTTGATAAACCAGGCACGAGCATGGCACCGGAGTGTCATACTGTCAGTTAGCAGAATATATTTCATCAAAACAGAAGTGTCCACCGTTTCCGTCAATTATCGAGGTCAGGGCACTCGGCATTTAAAACTTTGCCACAAAGATCCCATTTCGTTCATTCTGTAAAAATAAATGTTACGAGAGAAATAATTAAAACAATAGTACGATATATCAGATCTATATAATCTAGATCTATATATATTTTCTTTTTTTTTTCAGTACAATCGTATGTTTTCAAAAAATGGGTTATTTTGAACAGGCCCTTTTGCACTTTGATAGAATAAAAAAAAGCATTTTGAATAACATTTAGTAGAATATCCATCGCATGTGAATCATTTTCCGCGATAATTACGATAACCATTGAAATGATATAAAAGCTAATCCTAATTCATTTTTATAACATCAAGTAGAAAAATTTATTTCCGAGCGTACATACAAAAATATTTCCTCTCTAAAGCGTTTCTTTACTGTGAAATCGGGCAACAGGATTGCTATCAGACAAAAAAAAAACAAATAAAGTAGCCTTACTTGGGCAGCTGTATTCTTCTTTATGCTCGAATTATGTTTCAGCCAGATCTAAACTGTCGTTTAAGGTCATCAGTTTTACTCATCTATATCGTAAAATTAGTTTTGTTAAGATTTTTGGGTTTAACTTAGAAAAATCTTGCTGTATAAATATTGACAATTCTATAAGCCAACGCTACTTTTAATCTTTGAATGGTTGTAATTTGTACAAAATGAAAATATTTCTTTCTTTTACATCTCTAGTTTTAAGCTATTTTGAGAACTACTTATTGTTAGGTTTGTCGTGAAATTCTGTGCCAGAGATTGAATGTCAGCATTGTATTTCCTGATCTGCGATCAGAAAATCAAAAACCATGTTAAAAGAATCAGTATATGTTTGACTGAAATTTTTCTTCTTTCATAGATAACATTTCCATATAACCACAATAGTGTTTTGTTGTTGCTGCTTTTTTTCACGAAAATGTTAAAAATGGGATTTGAGAAAGAGACACAAAGAATAATAAAATGTAGAATGTAGTAACATGTTTTTTTATGAACAAAAATTATTTGGAACTTTCATATATATATAACAAAACCGTTAAA